TGATTCCAGGAAGCTGGGGGCAGAGCAATTCTGCCTCCAGCTTCCTGTAGTCAGCCCCTGGTCAGTTTCAGCAGCAGCGGCTGAATCTGGAGCCAGTTCCAACTTACATACAAATTCAACTTAAGAACAAACCTATAGTCCCTATCTTGTACGTAACCCGGGGACTGCCTGTACTTGATTTGTGCACACCTGTATTTATTTTACATATGGTTCTCAGAACTGCAAGTGTGTGTTTAAAATGTGAAAACTCTTAGGGTATGTCTACACTTGCAGCCTAATTCGAACTAGGGCTGCTAATGTAGGCATTTGCAATTGCAAATCAAGCTCTGGATTTAAATATCCCGCGCTTGATTTGCATCTTCCCGGCTGGGTGCCATTTTTCAAATTTACAATCCCGAAATAACTGCCCGTGTCTACACGCGGCAGTAAAACGGGCATTTGAAATAAAGCCCTAGTTCAAACAACCTGTTAAACCTCATTGCAGGAGGAATAACAGGTAGTTTGAACTAGGGCTTTATTTCAAAGTTACTTCGGGCTTGTAAATTTAAAAAAAAAATGGCGCCCGGCCGGGACAATGCAAATCAAGCATGGGATATTTAAATCCCAGGCTTGATTTGCAATTCCGAATGCCTATATTTGCAGCCCTAGTTAGAATTAGGCTGCAAGTGTAGACATACCCTTATACAAATGCAGAGACCACATTATTCTGGGATATTTGGACATTATACTTAGAATGCAAATCACTAAAGGAAACAAAGAGCATGCCTGATGCTTTGCCAAATCCTCCTAAAGTTTTCAGTTCTGCAGTGAACACGCTCAGGTAATACTGGGAGTGTGCACTGCGGCCAAAGTCTCTTATCCCCTCTCTCCACAAATTAACACATTTTTAGTTGGTTTTAGGACATCTTCAAGTTACCTTAAGTTTTAACGCACTATTGAAATTAATGGGATTTTGTACATGTGATTCTTGCACCCCTCTTCTGAAAAAAGAAAGCCACAGATCATGATTTTTCCTTTAATTTCCCCTTAGTCTGTCAACACCATTATGTAATACTCCACAATTTCTCTGGAACAGCTGTTGCCAAGGAGACACATTCAGTATGGCTCAGTGGTGGGAGAATGAGCAGGGGATTTTAGATAAACAGAGATGTGCTTTCTTATTTTATTGCCCAGAATACAAAGGCTTAATTTTCAAGTGCGAGAACGGCCCACTGTGCAGAAATATCTGTACCAAACACATGATTCCCTTTTCTTTTCCTCTTGACACAATGTAACATGATGTGCCCTTTAGTACCGCTTGATATTTTCTTATACTGTATTAGTACTAAGCAGCTCTAGCAGGGCTATGGCCCCACTGTGCCAGGTACTGTATAAATGCCTATGAAGATACAATCCTGATCTGGCAGATAAGTGACACAGAACAATGATACAACCCTTTGTATATTTCCTATACATACATATGCATTTGCCCCCCGAATCTTGCAGTTATAGATGGATACATTGCGAACTAGCATCATCTTTATTCCACTCAGTCTAGCTGAGTGAAAGATTTCTTATCAGCATTGTGGTCTTGATGAAAGATTTAAAGGAATGGGTACGAGCATTACATATTAGCTCAAGGTGAGTATTTCACATGTGCTGGACACTGTAGAAGGCAATCTATGTGAGAAGACAAAAAGCAGGCTTACGGACTCATGCTGTTGGCAGAATGGAGAACATATATTAATAATCTCATAGGCTTCACATGTTTGTACCATGGACCACACTTTAATAGAAGTCAGGGACGCTTCCCCTTTCAGTGTGGTCCACCTACCGTCCCATTCACAATCATGTAGCCACTCTAGCCATTACTTACTTATCAACATAATAGTAGGAAAATAGTTTAGAATCTTTTAATGCAATTTAGCAGCTGACAACAAAAAGGAGAACCAGTTCTCCATGGACTACCAGCAAATGCTCAGCAACCACCATTTGTCTAATCTGATTACTCCATACGCTGCACTACATCTTTATAAAATGAAACAAACCAATATAAAAACAGACACTCTGCAGCTAAATTCCAAGACCAGTGATGCTTGTAAATGAATGCATGACAACTGACAATATTTTGGCTATGTGGATAGCAGTGGTCAGCAAATAATATGTGGATAACAGTGGTCAGCAAAGCCTGTCTTATCTTTCTTTAAAAATGTAAGGTTGTGATCAATTTCATCGATTTCTTCATCACTAGAATCTAATCTGGTGAAACACAAAAACAAAGAACAAAGGCAGGTGCTGAAATGGTGGCAGGTTTAAAGTGAAAGTTGGGAAGCAGAAGAGTAGTCATAACTAGATATGCAATAGCATCTCATGACATATAAGACTAGGTGGTTTAAGGATGTTAAATTTAAATTAATCAACTAATTGAATAGTTGATAAGGGCACCTCTGTCTTTGAAATGTAGCAAGAGCCCTGCCGGCTCAAGCAGTGCCCTGCTGGCCCCTCACTCCCTACTTTTGAAATGTACAAGAGCCCCAGAGGGGACTCTTGTACATTTCAAAAGCAAAGCACGTGCGGGGAGCATGGGACCAGCGAGGGACTCAAGTGGGGCTGGCTGGATGTAAATTAGATGTATCGCAATTGCTAATGAAGCGGGGATTTAAATCCCCCTCCCCCCCATGAAATAAGGGATAAGGGATCTTTCGGAAAAGGCTTTATTTTCCGCAAGATCAGCGTCTAGACTGGCGCTTTTTTCCGACAAAGCTCTGTGCGGAAAAAAAAGCGGCAGCCATTTTTATGCTAATGAAGCGGGGAAGGGATGTAGTCTAGACGTAGCCTCTGAGTACGGTTATCCAGCTAGTTATGCACTCACCTTATAGAAGCCCCATCTAAGTTGTATTTGCCTAGTTTATTGATAAGAATATCATGCAAGACCATATCAAATGCCTTACTAAAGTCTAGGTATTTACTACATCCACCGCTTCTCCCTTATCCACAAGACTCGTTATCCTATCAAAGAAAGCTATCAGATTGGTTT